TTTTCTATTTTTGTAAAACATGAAAATAATCCCTTTATGGCTTTAAATGTTGTAGTTGCAGCTCTTCCTCTTCCTCTCACTGTAGCTCAAGCACACCAGCTCACCTACGACTCTGTTCCAACGCTGTGAAACTACACAACAGCAAGATGGAGTAACTCTGATGTAGAGCCATAAACTGAAACTGGAAAAGGATAATCATACAAAAAGCCCATCCTACAAGCTTCAGGGTTTGTTACCTGTGAAACCCTGGAGGTCTGGATCTGTGACACGCTGCTGGTTCAAGGTGGAAATGCTCATCTGTAGCTTTAGCTGCTTATTTCACTCATGAGATGTCTGCTAGCACATGAAAAAAACAGAATATGGAAATATTAACAAGGTACAAAGCTTTCAATCTGAATTATTTCAAGCTTTCTGATCCTGTAAATGTTGATTTTTGTCTCATTTTACTGTTTTCTGAATCAAATACAACATTTAGATCATAACAACCCTCAGTGCTTCAGTAATTTAACACAAACAGGAGTGATTCTTACTGTGCAAACATTTACTTTTAACTCGATTTTTTAAGGACTTTCTTGTAATCGAGTACTTTCCAAGTTGCCTTTCTAACAAACTTCTTGCTAGAACATTTTCCACAGGGTGGGAGTAGAGAGATGTTTCCCCTCAGCAGCCCTCTGCGCTTTATCTCAGGTGCAGGGTTGCAGGGTTTGAACTCAATCAAAAAAAAAAGAAGTATGCTGAAACAATTATCTGGTTCCTTGCAAACTCTACTTGTGCAGCATCTCTGCTCAGCGTTAGCTGGTGGGGCGATTCTGACGTGACGGAGAAACACGGCAGGCTGAAAACGTTGCAGGAGTAAAGCCCGTGAAGAGCCAAATCGTTGCCATAAGAAGGGAAAAGTTGAAATCCTGACATGAGAGCACGGCCACCCATTCCTGTGAGCTGCAGTGGGAAGTGAACGCCGGCGCTCTGTGCACCCAGAGAGGGGCCACGCTGACCCCATTACACGAGCAGATATCTTAAATGTTTGCACATGTGGACTGTGATGCTGTTTGCAGCCGTTGAGCTGCTTAGCAGGCCCCCAAAAGCCCTCGGGGACCTTCTTTCTCTTCTCTTTTCTCCGGCTCCCTCCCCCTCCCCTCGCTCGCGCTCCATCATTATCGCCCACATGCTTTTCCAGAGACATCCTGAGCGAAACAGCTCGACGTCCTCGATGGCTATCACATGTTCCTGCTGAGGAGGGAGGCAGCCGGGGAAAGACATCTTGAAGAGAAGAAGACAGGGTGTACTGGGCCGGGCCTTCTTTTTTTTCTCTTTGGCCTTTTTTTGATTAAGATTTTACAAAGAGTTGTGTGCATCAAATTAAACAAAACATGGGGAAAAGCTTAAGGCTTTGACAATTTTCTTTTTGTGAACTCTTCCTTTATTTCCTTCGTTTCACGGCTCTGTGAAGTTTATGCACGTTTTAAAACGGTTTAGGGCCTTCACACCGATCAGCCGAGATTCAAACCACCTGCCTCGTATCGTGGAGGTCATGGACAAGGACACGGTCTCCACATAACCTCTGAAGGTGTCCTGCAGTACCAGGTACCAAGATGCTCGCAGGAAATCTGGAGTCCTGGAAGTTGTGAGCTGCATGAATCTGACTTGTTTTTGAAAATCTGGGGAATCTGGAGGCCAAATCAACACCTTTAGCTAGTTTTCATGCTCTTCAGACCATTCCTGAGCAATGTTTGTGGTGTAGCAGAAAACATTATCCTGCTATAAGGGTCCACATGATCTGTGTCAAAGTTACATCCGTATGAACGCCAAGATCCAAGGTTCCCCAGCAGAACATCACACTGCCTCTTCTTCTCATAGAGCACCCTCTTCTCCAGGTAAACAACATGTATAGTCATCTTCTGTTCCTTCATGGTCCACTTCTGATGCCCTTTGCAGTGGACAGGATGACTTTTCTATCGTAACCAGCGTGAAGGTTTGAACCAGTTTTGTGCTGCAGTAGCTCCTCTGTGGGATCAAGCACCCATCAGTTAGCCAACAGGTCACCAGATCTTTGGTTGTTCTTCCTTGAACCACTTTTGGCAGCTGCTAACCACTGCACAACAGGAACGCTGCTGCTTCAGAGATGTTCTGATCCAGTCGTCTAGCAGTAACAGTTTGTTGTGATCTGAGTGGCTTTGACAAGAACCACTTTTCATGCTTCCAACACATCAGCTTCAACAGCTGGTTGTTTCCTTGCTGCCTCATCTATCACACGTCTAACAGGTGCCTCAGCAATGAGATATTCAACGTTATTCAGGTCACCTGTTGGCTGATTTGTGTTTTTATGGCTTCTATTTGTCGAAACTATGAGTCTATACTTGATCAAATATGGAACAAATCCATCTAGAGATACTGAATAATGGATTTTGGAATGTAATGCCCTATAAATGCAAATATTTAGTCTTAAAACCAACTTCTTTAAACTGTCTTTTGCCAGCAAAAGCCTGAAAAAATACAAAAGTTTAATCTATTCATGTTCCCCAGAGGATGAACCCCACCGGCTTTGGTAAAACCCACAACTTTTCCATCAAGGATTTTCCAAAACTGTTCATGACTAAATCCAAACCTGCTGCTAAACGCTAGCATGTTAGCATGCTGACATTAGCATTTAGCCTTTTTGTCAGTTTTTCTGCAACTTTCTGCTGCAAATGGAAGTTTTTATAGTTTGTGTACATTGAAGGGAAACCTCAGACCCATTGTGTTCCTTCAATGAGCTCAAACTTGATTTCTACGCGTTGCTAAAGTGGGAGGTGAACGGTAACGTGCAGGAGGAAACGCCGCGGTTCATCGTTCACAAACACCAGCGCTGATGTGAGGAAGTGTCTTCAAGGCGAGACTAAAATTAAGCAGCGGACTCGCGTGTGGTTTCACTGTTTTCTCTCGTTTTATTGGAGGCGGAAGGTAAGACACACATTTCACTTTAGTTTTTCTCACAGACCTGGCCACCCTTCACTTATCTACAAAGTACTTCCTGTTCCTTCTCGAAAGCAAGAGCTACATCCATCGTACATGTTAGAAACAGTTATTTTAAAAAACAAAATAGAAATAAAAATGTACAACATACACTTGATATATATAATATAATTTTTGCTCTTTTTTTTTTTTACAGAGGTAAAAATACTAAGCGTAAAAAAATGGGTCTAATTCAATACAGGGAGTCGTTTCTTTAATTTTTTCGATTTTTAAATACACAAGGAGATAAAGAGGATGCGTTCAGGCACTTGTAAATGGCTCTGACATGTGAGAACACACTCGAAACACCAGACGAGACGGAGATAAAAGATTAAACGCTGACCCACATGCACTCACACACACACTCACACACACACACACACTCGCTTTCCAATCTGATTGGCCCTGTCCCTGATTCATCGCATCATCAAAAGGATCCGATTCAACTCGAAAGGTGTCAGTGTGTGATAGCATATTCAGCTGATCCCAGTAGCTTTGGATCAAGGAGCAGGAGAAGGGGGAAGGGATGTGGCACGAACACACACACACACACACACACTCACACACACAACCAAGGACGTACAAACTGGTACACAGGACAGGATGTATGAAACAGATACAACCAGGGAAGGAAAAAGGACATCCTCAGGCATTCTGTATTTCAACTATAGTAAGTGACATTTCCTTGGCAAAACAATCAGGGATGGATGTTTGTCTCCAGGATTTCGGCTGATTTTTCCAATGGGATCCTCCTGACGTCCTGCTCTATTTTAAAAAAAAAAGAAAAGCTTATTGTGTTCCCGGTCACATCCCCGACGCTGCCGCCGTCACCCGGGCTTAAAGCAGAAAGCACCCGAGCGGTTGTCAGTTTCGTGTTGTGCTGTCAGCGCGAGGGCGTGATTGGTCGGCCGCGGTGCCACTCAAACAGCGAGGCAGGTAGGACAGCGGGTTGTATTTAATTTTCCCTCCTCCATGGCCTGAGTTAGTACACCAACATGACACCCAGTGAGCTGTTTTTAACCTTTTCTCTTATAATGTACCAAATCTGGCATGAAGGAGGGAAAAAAAAACCTGCTGTAGGACGGAGAAGAAACGCACACGCCGGTCACATGTGGCTTCAGCAGCTCGTCTCTCATGTTCATCTCACATTTTGGGGGCCTCAGAGGAGAAGGTTGACATCCTGGACGGTACTTTTAGTTGGATTAGCTCTGCAGAAGGAGTGGAAACAGGGAGGAGGCCAGCCAGGCTCTGACATTAGATGACATAGTAAAGATCTTTTCTACTGTAAATCACACATTTCTATTCTTATATAAGCTATTTCCTAAAATGTCAAACTTTCCTTTTACCAACTGGATGATTTTCTCACATAAATAAGATTAAAATGCGACTCCCTGCATTGTTGAACAGACATAATACGTCAAAAAGTCAGTTACAATCATGTGTTATAAACTAAAATCAAATGGTTTGTAGGTCTGGTTTTCACACACAAGCTTGTTTTTAAATTTGTTTTAGGATGATAGATTAAAATATTCAGCTCTTCTGCTGCTCCACATGTGACCGGCGGGCTCGACGACAGATGGACGCTTTTAAAGAGGGGAGGTGATTGTACGTCGCAGGCAAACTACAGTCCATAGTTTGCACACTCAGTGAGAACCTTTTAAAGAGTTCCTCTTTATTAAAAAAATAAAAAAAAAGTTAAAACCAAGTTCAAAACAAAACGCGGCGAGGCCGATTGCTTGGAGCCGTAACCGTGCTCACGCTTTTTTTTTTTTTCATCATAGACATCTTCAGAGAGACGGGCGAAGTCCGGAGCGACGCTCCACGTTTTAAGGCATACGGGCACCAATTTATCACCGCTATCTGATTGACTTGTTTCTCGTCAGTCCTCCAGACGGCTGGCTGAGGTTCTGCGAAGGAAATCAGAGCCTTAAAATCTCACACCGCTTCAAGTGTTCAATGTTAAAATGAGCCAAAAAAATCTGACTGGAATCGTAAGACTCGACGGGTTCTCCTGGTTTAGGTGGTTTTTTTAAAAAGTTGTTTTTTTGAGGCACTGTTTGAAATAACGTGAGAGGAGCAGAGAGACGGACGCATCGAGGCGCCGTCTCCTTCAGCGAATCACAAACCCAGCACCTCCTTCTTCTTTTTTTTTTTTTTTTGCTGGTAGATCAATTCGGTGAGAAAATAAATAGGATAGAAACATGAATCTTTGGGATATTAGAAGAAGATTAAGATGAGTACCACGTTTGTCTCGGTGAACAAAGAAGATGCCGGCGTCGGAGAGCTGTGTGGACTATATACATGAGCTTCACCGTAAGCTGCAGTACAGACAACAGAAGGCCTCGGCGCACATCGTTAGCATGCACATATACCATCCACACGCACACACTCGCACACACGCGCACAGAGGTGTAGTGTCGGACTTCTCTGGTAGCTGGAGTCGAGCTGGGCGGGCCTGATATTGGAATATAAACAAAATGGCCACGCGTACATCGAAGGAGAGAGAGAGAGAGAAAAATAGAACAAAGAAACAATTCAAGTTCTTTGACGCCGAGTCAGTGTACAAATATAACAATATAAAGTACCTGCATATGTGATACATGACATATAGGTCAGCTATAAAAAAAGGCCCCCTGAAAAAGAGTGCTCTCTCACTAGAAACAGAGCATGAAATGGCCACGTGGAGAGCTGAGAGAACTGTCTGCCGTAAGGGGGAGCTTATCTTCCCAGGCCGTTCAACAAAAAAAAAAAAAATGCACCAACTGTTTTTTTTTTTTTTTTGGCTTATTTCAGTGTCTGGAATTTGTAGAGAAACCCAGAGAAACCAAAGGCAAGAGAGTGAGCAGCCACGACCACTTGTCCCTTCTGTGTGTTTCCCCATCCTTCCCTTTCCCTGTGCTTGCGTTGGGTTTGGGTTTTTGTCGGGTTTTTTTTATTTCTTCCCCCCTCGGTGAGGTTTTCCAAACACGACCGCTCAGCTCAGGGCCTTGTGTCGGCCTCCGCAGCAGCCGCAGGCGAGCCCCGCCCGGTGGCAGGCGTGGAGGGGCGGGTAGAGGCAGAGGCAGGGCGCCACCAGGGACAGGCCCAGCAGCGCTAACCAGCGAGTGCCGAGGCGGCCTCCCCCCTCGGCCCCGTCACAGGAGCAGGGGTCCGAGTAGTCCCCCTCCGGGTCGGACATGCAGTGGTACAGCATGGTGTCTGCCAGCCACATGCAGCTGACCCGTCGGATGCACGCCCGCACCGGGTCTGGAGCATCCTGGCACCGGCCTCTCCGGTTGTCAGAGATGTAAAAGGCCTCGCCGCAGTGCTCGCACTGAGCGCGCTCCATCCCGTCGTCCTTCCGCTCCTTCCCGCCATTGGTCGATGGCGAGGAGCTCGGGAGAAAGGAGCGAGGCTGTGTGGTGACCACCGAGGAGAAGCCGTGGCGGTACGAGCCGCCGTGGCCCTTATTGGTCAAGGGTCCGAGGGCGGGGTCAGAGTCTGAGGGCGACAGGGCCGGTGCCAGCGGGTAGGTGTAGTCGTGCTTCTGCGCCTCTGTCTTGGCGAAGTGGACGTAGGGCTCATTTTCGATGAATTTGTCCCGCACGGTGGCGTGGCGGTAGTCCTCGTAGCCGGTGAGCCAGGAGCGGTCCGACGGGCGTCCGTGGAGCCGCTCGGTGGCTCGCTCCCAGCTGCGCTCCCGAGGGTTGATGCGGACGATTTCCTCGTCCTCGAAGGTGACGTGGCGGGGAATCCGAGACAACGGCTGCACAGACAGACAGACAGACAGACAGACAGACAGACAGACAGGGACACGTGAGATCCTGAACTTCATCTAAAACCAAAGGCACATCCTCATCTCCACATCTGCTTCAGAAAAAAAAAACAGTGTAAACGTGGTCCTGGCACGGCTACAACCAGATGTTCTCTCCCTCACCTGGTCTAAGTAGTAGTGGTCTGAGAACCGGTAGGGGTCGTGGAGGTCGTGGCGATGTCCCAGCATGCACTTGTGTCTCTGCGGAAGGGGCGAGGACTCGAGCGGCTGCAGAGAGCTCTCCAGCTTCTGGGAGGAGTTGGATGAGCTGTCTGTGGTGTTCTGAGGGGACAAACAAACACAGGATGCGGCCTGAGAAGCTGTTTTCTGATTGGACATGTCAAACAAATAGTCGGCGCGAGAGGACAACACGATTGGACAAACAAAAACAGGAAGCCTCCGAGCAGCACTGATTGGAAAAACAGGAAGCGGGAGCTCTGTTTTTCAGGCCACTTGATCCACGTTTGGACCGCTGCGTGTGAGGTAAACTTTCAGCGAGAACATCTGCCGCCGAACAGTCGGACGGAGAAAAACAGAGCGGCGACCATCAAACCTAACGCTAAAGTTTATTTGGCTACTTACAGACGCGATCCCATTAATTTAGAACGTTTCCACTCAGGAGGGTTGCCATGGTGACGCACAAGCAAAAGGATGCGTCCGACATCTGGACGAAGGGGGGGGCTGGTAGTCAGATAAGTGATGCAGTTATTCTCTGCTGCATGTGAGCTGGTCTGGACTTCATGTGACGCAGCAATAATATTTAGTCTGCGCTCGCTGGTATAAATAAGGTGGACAAAATAATGGGAACGCCTCAGTTTATCACGACAGGAGTCAAACTGCAGCGTCCGACGTTGACGGATCTCCTCACAAAAACAAAAACAGAACTTAATACTACAACCCCTGATTACTGACATATTAAAAGTATTGTTATGACTTGAAAGTGTAATCCATGTAGATGTTTGTAAGGTCAAAACTTTAAATTAATTACCTCTATGATCAATAACACTGTTGGGTCTTCGCTTAAATGTTGATATAAGTTATGTTAAGTTTGTAATTTACAGGTAAAATTGCATTTTATATAATTTATGCAGGGTTTTGATGCATAATATATAAATTATTCAGGTAAAATCACACCAAAAACAACACTAAAAGGTCTAAATGTTCATATTTTCTCCTTTAACGTTACTTTCATATCACCAATAATAATGTTTTTTTTACTGGGAAACACTTTGAGGCAGCGGCTGTTATCCTAAACGTGTCATTTTATCTGGTTTACACTTCATGTTAGGGATCTTACTGTATATTTGAGATGAGTTTGACTGTAAAACACTTTATTTCATTATTAAAGTGGCCCCTTCACCTCCTAAATCCTCTCTGCCTTTAAAGAGGAGACACAATCAGCCTCCAACAGGATAAAGATTCTTCATGCTTGAGATAAAGTCGGTGGCGCAACTTGATATAAGCACTTCTGCACAAACGCTATCCAGAGTATCACCTTTTTTGGCCTCTCCCCTTCGCCTTCTCCCCCCTTTTCTTTTCTCTTCTCTCTCTCTTTTTTTCTTTCTCCCCCACGACAACAACAACCTGTCCTCCTTTTCCCTCAATCGCACTTTCTCCACATTCCACCTTCCCTTCTCCCTTTTCCACCGCTCGCCGTGTGTGTGAATAGTATCCTGTCCCCCTTTCCGCTAAAGGCTGTCAGGGCTCCGCTCCAACTCAAACTTTGGCCAGACACAAGACGGCCGGGCCGCTGCCGTGTAGCGCCCAGACAGGGATTTCAGACAGGCACACGGGGGGCCAGCCTCCGTGGGCACCGGCTCGTAGTCGGATCGGGACTCGTCCGGTCTCATCTGGGTAACATGAGCGCACACGGAGGAGATATTCAAGCTGTGTTTATCGCAGCGAAAAGGCTGCAGGTGTTTTTGTGTACGAAGAAGCTGGAAGTGTCTCCATGAGTCCTATAAGATGCTCTAATCTCGTCATAACTTTCGGCCTTTTAATAAAAGACAAGTATGTGGCGCTAATCTGTGCATTAGCGAAGCCTGAAATCTGCTTTCTGTCCTGCTTTGAGCCCCACATGTGTGGTCAGCACCAAGTCAACAGCTCGTCCACCGGAGAAACATTTGGCCGAAGCTGGTTTTTTCTTTTTTGCTCCGAGTCTGCAACAGCTGTTAGATTTCTGCGCTTCCTATTTTTTTCCGTGCTGATGTGATTTCATATCCTGAAAAAAAAAAAAAAAATCCACTCGACAGGCACAAAACAGATGAGAGGAGTTTGATTCCAGCTATTCAAATGTTCCCAGTTCTCTTCCACTGGAAAGACAAAAGGAAATACATGCCTCAGAGATCAGCGGTTGTAGCTCGGAGGATAGAGGAGGTTTGCTATTAATGGTAGGAACTCGGGTCCTCCTGGAAACATGTCGGAGCGTCCTTGAGCGAAGCAATGAATCTGCTTCCTATGTACAGAATGTGTAAGTTGCGTAAGCTGTAAATACGCTGAAGTGCTATTTATTTTGTGTGAAAGCTGAACTATGCACAACACCAGCCTTGAGACATTCCACCATGTTCCTCCAAAACGAGAGAAAAAGTATTCAAAGAAGTGAAAATCCCAGTTTAGCTGCATTGAAATGCATTCAATCTGTCCAGACTGATCTCCAGCAGCTCTGGGCAGCTTGTGGAGAGTTTGGGTTACATATGTCCAATCTTCTACAACTTTTTGGACTTGCAAAGCCATCCAAACAGACAAACATCACTGCACAATGGAGTCATATCATTAAATTCCTCCAAGATAAGGACCTACTGACACATGGAAGAGTTGGGATGTTGCATCTCTGTTAGAACAATAATCATGTTTCTGTATCGTCTGCAGTTTAAGTCTGAGTGTGGTTCTGCAAGGAGGTACAGTCAGGCCCCAAGAGTCCATGGTCATGGCTGTAGCACTGAGCTAAATGCTAACACTAGCACAGTAGCATGCTCACAATAACAACGCTGACATGTTGATATTCAGTTCGTTAAACCTCATGTTTGCCACATTATAAAGGCAGCACACACCTGAGGCTGATCATGTTAGTGGTTTTGCAGGTATTTAGTCATAAACCAGACAATCTTGAGCCAATCCATCCAACAGCTCTGGACAAAATTTACTCCAAACCACAAACATAAACTGCACAGTGGCTCAAAGGGAAAAGCGAGTGGATCACCAAACTCATCTGGGTTTCTTCTGAATATAATTTTACACCAATCAGCCGATAGATGAGGAAGATAGTCTCACATTATCATTCTGCTATATGTTGGAGAAAAAAACTTTGCCATGTTGGTGTTCCTTTAAACCAATCGTCTTAAGCAGACCTAAGCCCAGGATGTACTGATGGTGTCCCTGCAAAATAATAATGGGGTGGAACCATTTTGGTGGAAAACTTGGACACTGGGAGGTGAGAAATGACCAACTGGACAATCAAAAAGTTAGGTATAAGTTGGCACAAGCTCAGAATAGAGACAGGAAGTTGTTTTGGTGGAACATTTGCATCCAGGGAAGTGAATTCTGCCCCTAAAATGGATAACTCACCAAAAACAAAGAGCACTGCTGTTTATCGTATGATCCGAACCTTAAACAAAACTTTAAACTTCCCCACGCAGAGGAGAAAGCAACGTGAAATTAGCAACCAATGACCAGTTTATACCTGCAACCTGATGAGTCGGACTAGAAGGAAAGTGGAGCGACCAAGTGTCAGACATTACAATCCCTAAACACGATATGACCTCTCTTGCTGATACGCCTTTTTTCACTTTCCGGCCGTATAATCAGCGCCACATGGAGAATATCAAGACAAACCTGTGGTCCAAACAGAACTACACGCTCCATGCTTGCAGCGTGAACTTTGGCTCGTTTGCAGGTAACACGTCTCCCCCACGATTCCTAATAAACTTTACGAAAATACTCTCATCGCAAAACCTGGCGCTCCAACAGGACTAAAACCGCCGCGCAAATTATTCGCCAGAGTTCTATGACCCAGATCTGGTGTGTCTGTCTGTCTGTCTGTCTGTCTGTCTGCTGAAGCTATCCCTATTATATCCTGCTCCCCACATGGATACCGCCATGCTGAGAATTTCCCCCAGCTTTCTTACAAAGCCCTCAGAGCAGCCGGCCAAAAATAACATAACATGCTGCCTCCGCTCCGAGCCCCGCCCCCCTGGAGAAGCCATTACTGGGGGAGGAGGAGGAGGAGCTGATACGGTTTAGAACCGGTCCGACTCTGGCCTCCATGGCTGCAACTAATTCAAAACACAGACCAGACTTTCTGCTGCTGTTGCTCTGAGCTCCAACTGCACCAGAGGACACGGAGACAAAGGAGGAGTCGAGGGGGAGAGTTTATATTTCTGGACATCCTCTCTTTATATATTCTGGTCCAAGGCTGGACAGAGGGCATTTCAAGTTATTTTCTGACACAAAACATGTCCCGACTCAAAGCTCGGGAGGATTCATCCTTCAACAGGCCCGTCTCGCTCTCCTGGGATGAGCCCAGAATTGCTTCAATAGCTTTCACTCCCCCTGTTGTGAATGAGCCAAAATAGAGACGGCGAGAGGAGACGTGCTGAAGGGAGGGCCGGAGGAAGGGTTGGGTTAAGTTTAGGTTTGGCGAACGAGGAATAATTTAGGGAAGTATGTCCATCCTAGCTCTCCCCTCCCCATCCGACCATCCTCCCCCGTCCCCCTAAAGGCCGTAAATCTGCTGCAGCATTTCCCCCTGTCCGCAACTGCCCGCCTCGCAAACTCTGCCGCCGCCGCCGCCGCTAACTTTAGGAAAGGTCATTAGCACGAGCTAAGAGGAACACAAAGCAGAGCTGAACCCCGTCGATGCGACGCATGATTATCAACCTGTGGCTTCAGAGTCATCGCTGTCTGGTGGTTGTTCACAAGAAGTGGAGCTTTTATTTGAAACGTTTCAGTGCCTGTTCTCATGAGGTTTTATCAAAGAGCTCACATCCTGGCAGAACGGGGGATTTTGTTTTACTAAATGCTGAGCAAACACCATGTGGACACACCACTGTGGCCATCAGGTAGATACCAAGACAGGACCCCAGACAGAGTGGATAACGTAGACGGCTAATTCAGGCACTAACTACTCCTGCCTGTGTTCAGTCATACATCCAGCGGGATCCTGATACAGCAAGATGACAGTTTGAATGTCGGAGAACGCCTGTATTTTTCCTATCTGGCATAAGACTGAAGCTTAAACCCAACATGTATCTGCAACTGAGCTCAACCTACGGACCAAATTTTGCTTTTTCTAATCCATGAGTGACCGTTAGTTCTCCGGACTGATGCAAAGGTTTGGCTTCAGCGTTTCATTCTTCGCACTGGGGATCTATCACAACAGTCACAGACATGCATTTTATTTCATTTAAAAATAAGCAACTCAAACCTGACTAGAGAACAAAAATGAAGCCGGTGCTGACATACCAGCCTGCAGTTCCTTACATGGCCACTAGAGGGTCGCTGAAAAACGAGTAAACCCCTATAGAGCGCCATGTTAACATGACAAACTTTACACCAGAAATAAACACGTTTACAAAATCAATTTCTCTGTTTTTGACAACTGTACAGGAGTTCTTGTTCACATAACTCACTCGTTTAAACTGTACTATGGCTTAAAGCGATACATGATCAGGTCTATGGCTGCTCCAGGTGACGGGCAGGTACCATAACAGGACAGTCCATCTGCACGGCTCCACCTCAGCTCCACTTTGTTTTTGATCATTTTTGGATTAACCCCGAGGAGTCAGACATCACGGCGAAGGTCGACCACACTGAGCTCTAAACCCACTCAAACCTATCAGTGACGTTTGAGCGGGTTTATCCATCTTCATATACGGTCCTGCTGCTTTGTCGAGACCGCTCGGCTTTAATTTTTAATAGCAAATCTATAGAGTGCTCTCTGACCTACAATTCAACCGAGGATTTGCGTCACCGCTTTGCGCAGAGAGCTTCTGCTGCTCGCCTCTCGCCGGGCAAAATATTAGAAACACCTGTCAGCCCAACACACTGAATCACCACAAACCTCAACAGCCTCCAAAACCGTCACACAATCGAATCAACGCCTCTTTAAAACCGTTAAAACATTAAGCAAGACGACCTTTACGAAATTAGGGCACCGTTTTATTAGACTGAATTAATTAGGCGAGCCGAGTAAAGTTTAAACATAGACGTCCACTGTGTTCGTTGGATTACAAATGCAGACGAGTAATTTGTACGTATGTGTAGGTCTGCTGGCTGTAATCTTGTGGTGTGTTCAAGCACAAGTTTTAACAGCAGACATGAGGCGATGCAGAATGCAGGACTCGTACACCCAACAGGGTGAGCCTTGTGCTGAAAAAAAAAGGTTTATGTGAGGCCACGGGGGGAAATGGAAATGTGGAGGCTATCTTACTGTTCTATCGTGTGTGTCGGCGGATGGATGTGAGGTTTAGAGCAATAATTTGGGGAATAAAACATATTTTTAGAAACGGTGTTTGTTGCACTGAAAGCCTCTGTGTTCCTGAAAATCCTGCAGCTCCATTTCAGGGTTTTTGCTCCGCCCTGTGACGGCGCTGCTGCAGCCACCACCACCACCACCACCCTCCTCCTCCCCGCTCCTTCCCCCGACCTCCACTTTTCCTCATGTGTTTGTGTGCATCTCTGTGGTGGCTGTACACTCCCAGCAGAGCACCTATTAGTCTTGGCCCTTACAGACAGCTCGAGTCAAAGATGAACCACGAGGCACTTCCTCTCGTAAATCACCGGCCCTGCACTAAGCTGGGAAACAGCTGCTAGCTGCTAGTTTGGTGGCTGCTCTCTTTTCTCGGCCGGGGCGGGTGGAGAGGCTGGCTGGGTGGAGGAGGGGTCACCAGGAGAGAGGGAGCTGGTGGGATACAGGAAGTGACCTTGTGACCCCGCCTGCTGGTCCTGGTGTCAGATTACAGCGTTGAGGAGGAGGAGGAGGAGGAGGTGGAGGGGTCTCCATGCTAACTTAAGGTGGAGGAGCCCTGACACACAAGCCACACATTTCATCGGCTGTGGCAGGTATACGTGACGGGGAAGCCAGGTCCGGAGCTGACATACTGTTGGCTCCACAGATCAAACAAAGTCCTGAGATGTTTCCTGGACGCAGAAGAATAGCTGCGCGGCGGATCGGCTTGTGCTCCGGGCCGGGCCGGACTTTTAGTGCTTCCATTTGGGTGATGAATCCTGACGGTGTTTAGACGGACAGGACTGCAGCCGTCAACAAAACATCCACGCAAGCAGCCGCTCAGACCGAAAGCAGGCCTGAGTTCAAACTGCACCGCGTTGGAAGAGGAGTGAAGCACCGCGAGCACAGATCAAGGAGCTCTGAATCCCAAGATGTGCTGCGTGTTTGTTGTTTTTTTGCAAATTTGCCAAATTGCCTTCTTTTTTCGGGTTCGGAAGTTTTAAAACCGGGGGGGACCGGCATTTTTTCCCTTTTGGTTCCCTTCAAATTCCTTTCTTTGGCTGGTTTTTTTTTGGAATTTTGCCAAAATTAACCAAACTTGTTTTTACTTTTTTATAAATAGATAATTTTTTTTTTTCTTTGGTGTACCGGTTAGGCGTTGGGCACTTCGGTTGCACCCTATTGGGTTTGTTTTTCAGCTCAACTGAACTGCAGGCTGTGTGGACGAGAAAAGTGTTGAAGCAAATTAAAAATGCATGCAGGTAAATATCTATAGCATGTTGAGCTTTTTGTGATTTATAGCAATACAAATGCGTCATACTGCACAGAAGACACTCTTGACTTCTCTCTACTTCTTGGGATTCAGAGGGTTAAAGAGTTATCAGATGCCTAAACTCTGCACAAGCAAATATTTTATGTTTTGTTGCACCAACTGGGAGTAAAATCAGAATGTGGGTTTTGCTGGATGACGTGATGCTGTTGAGCTTCTCCCAGAAAGTAACACGAAGGTGGATTTTCCCTCATGATAATGGTGACTTAATTGCATTTAAATGTTTTCTTGCTGTATTGGAAACTTCTGCTGTGTTTCAGTGAATGAAAAGCTTTAATAAATCTGTTGGCCAAACTTCCTGAATTAGATTATCTCACTGTACCGAAGCATCAGATTGCCCCGAACATCAACGGCGCTTCGTATTAATTCACTAAAAACGTGCTGCTGAGTGGCCTCATGGTGTGACTTGGGGGTTCAACCTGTCCCGGGAAGCTGTTTTCTACTTCAACTATGTAAAAGTCATCATCAACAGCTTCTCAGTTCAATATCATAAAACTTTAATGGTCTACCTGGAAAACCTGCAAATGGAAACGCGCTGCATGGAAAGTGAACCACCGAGTGCTCTTTTTCCGGACCTGCTTCCATCAAACATCCTACAGCGCTACGGACGCTCTGCTCCGTCGGGCAGGTTTGTGCGGTTACGCCGAAGCAGGAAGGAGTCGCCTCTGTAGCCCGGGAGGCTGACTGGCATGTTAATGAATGAAAGAAACGTGCTTACAGTGAAGACGTCATCGTCTCCCAGCTCGCCTTCATTCTGGAGTGCAGTGGAGGAGGTCGTGGAGCCTACGGAGGAGAAACAGCAACAGCCTTCAGTTCACAGAAACATGCCGGTGTCTCATCTGTAATCCAAATAAACTTTAATTCATGCATCCATGAAGTTTCTTAACCCAGATAACCTGACTGCAGCCTGACACAGTTTAACACTCAGTAACCCGCCGTCATGATTATCTGGTTTCCCTACTTGTGGATATTGACTTTCTTGTTTTGCTCCTTATCAAAGAACTTGAAAATCAATGGTGAGACACGTGTTCCTCCACATGCTCCTCCTTCATTCATGTCCTCGACAGGACGGACAGGTTCTACCAGTGGATTGTGTTTTGCTTTCAGCTTCTCTGCACCAGCTAGTAAACATCTCATTCATTAAATCGTTGGTTGTTTTAACTCAATGTGCAGCATCTCTTCGACTTGGAAAAGGAAGGTTTTAGTCATAAATACGACTTCCTGACACTCTGCTAACCCCCCTTTCAGAGCCAACTAGCTTTTGGGTTTTACCATTTCAGCACATCGTACCTTCAGCGAGGTCCTCGATGGCTTTCCGAACCCCCCTGTCGAAAGCTCTGGCATCAGCTGGACTCTGGAAGGACAGGCCACACCTCCTGTCCTCCACCTTCCAGTGGTGAAACGTGGGTGTTGCTATGGTGTAAACCAGATCCTTCCTCAGCGGACAGTCCAGGATCACCTGTTCACCCGACACACACAGGGAGTCGTGCTCGTCTCCGATGCCGAAACACACTTGGACATGCTTTTGCTGATGTGTTTCTCTCTTTTACCTGTTTGTCCCGCAGCCGCTCGCCACGGATGAGGAACTGGGAGCTGCCGGAGCCCGACAGCGGCGCCAGCTCCGTGGGCAGGAGGCGGCACACCCCCACCCGGCTCAGAGCGCCGCCGTCCTGAGCCAGCCAGCCGCCGCTCGAGTCGTCCCGCGTCATCACCACCGCTTTCACACGCACGATGTAGCTGTCACTGCAGAGACGGAAAGACAGCAGAGGCATCAGAACGGCATCAGAACGGCATCCGCAAGTCACGGTTCAGTATTAGTGGGGTCATGACGAGTCAGAGTGGCGTTTAGGACGAGCAAAATCCACTGGAGCTGATTGAGATTGAATTATTTTTGTATACAAGTGTTCATTTAAACCTTTTATATGCTCATTATATAGAAAAACAAAATGCTTGTGGGATCGAAAACATCTTCCATTAAGTGAATCTTGAACAGAGCACCAGATCTGACAGCAGTGACTCATATGAATGAGTAAGAAATGTACATTTTTGGAGGAAGAAAACCTCTGCAGCTGTAAACTTACACGCTTTAACTTCTCAGCTTAATGGCAAAAAACCACACGTGCACACTTTGCTCAGAAGAACCCAAACCATACAGGTAGAGTCAGATAACCAATACCCAAGAAAACAATCTGATAAATGATCCTCTCCATGATTACAGACCCTTAGATCTTTTTGCAAAGTCAATTAATCTGCACGATAAAAACCCGTAAGGTGTTCCTACATCTGAAACAGCACCTGCAGGACTTGTCACCGCTGCAACAACCATCTATTATCTTGGTTCTACGAAAATTACAGCGACGGCTTCCACCGAGAGCATCAACAAAAGAACCGCAGATTTCAATCGATTAACTTTTAGGAGCACCGTAACCTCAGCAAGACTTTCTGCTCGTCAAAACTCTCCACGCCTTCTGACTGGAACCGGAAAGGAAGCAGCCTTCTGCTTCCATTATTTGAATAATCCCGTAATTAAATAAACAGCTGAACCGATGTTAAATACAAATCCATCCAAAGTCATTATCAGATGATTGTTTTGTTCGGGTAGAGTTTGGTTTGCGTGTACGCTGTGGGAGATCAAATGCACAGAGACAACCACTTCCTTCTGCGGTAACACGACAGAAATGAAAGAAAAAGACAAAGATAATATCAATATGTTGCAGACTTTTGGTATTCATACAAACATTTTCTTTTTAAACTGCACCTGTGAGGTGTGTGAAAGTTACACAATGCAAATGGATGTTTCACAAACTTTCCACAAGATGCAGAAACTCTTCAGGCAGCAGCAGCAGCGGCGAACATTTCAGCTTCTACTGGTGAAAACTGACATTCCTGTTCAGTGGAACTCGTCTTAATGTGTGTTAATGCCACAACAGTTTATTATAGAGCTGGATTCACACTCTGGCAGACTGTTTGAGGGCGTCGCAAGTCACGACTTTGCCTGGTCCTCGCTGTGCTCACGTGGGAGGTGTTGCACCAGGACAAGTCAGCATGAAAACACCTCAAACTTTAATGTAAACGCAGCTCGGTGATGAGTTCTGTCTGACGGGACTGAAAACTAACGCAAAATGAAACCGAATGCAGATTCCACGTATTTCATAAATGGCTGTTGTCTAAGCGTTCATCCTCCAGCTTAACTCATGCCGACGTCACACATCCTGCGTGAACCTCTAAACGTTCTCCTCCAGCAGCTCTGCCATTATTTGCTATAATGTCCCGTCTCCAGTTTGATTTGCTTTCTTTTGCTATCCCTTCATTTCTTGTCTGTATTTCTGCAGTCACTATGAAATAAAGACAAAACGGTACAAGAAATAATCTTAAAACAAGTCCTTTACCAAGACAAACTACAGATGTGACATTTCTCAATTTCAAAACTACTAATAAATAGCAGAAATAAAGACTTTTGGTCACTATTTGTTATTCATTTGGAACTTTGTAAACCAAAATAAAATCTGAAATCAACACATTAGTCACGACGATGTCACATGTTTTCTTTCTTTAGTGTTAAAATCTCTTAAATATGATGGTAAACTGAATAAATATGTATTTTTCAAATTCAACAAAATAAGAATCATTAATGCCTGAGTGATAAATCCACCAGACAGACTGGAGGGATACCTGCTCACAGCAGATATTTAAGTAAAGTATATGTCGGCTAATAAACAGTCCTGTATAGTCAGACCGATCTTCACATCTATGTCAGGTCTGAAGAAAGGTCTGGCTTCACCTGATATCATTCTGCTACAAGAGCTGAGACGATTAATTGATTAGTTGTCCAAAAAAAAGTGTGAAATCTGAATATAGTTTCTGGCTTCTTTCCTACTTTCACAAAACATGATGGACTAATGGAAACACTGATCGACATTTTTCACCAATTTCTGACATTTTATTGCCCAAACAACTAATTAATATCCTTGCTGAATATTTAACTGAGAACATAATTATTAGTAGAGGAAAATGCTTTTGCTTGTTTGCATTTCTTTAAGCTGATCTTGGGGGCGGCCGTTAGCCCAGGATACAGTGATGGTGCCCCACAGAAACAGTGTTGGAGGGGATTTTTTCTTCTTCATTAAAATGGTTAATTCACAAAGAGAAGCGAGCATAGCAGCCTTATAGCACGACCCAAATCTATGTTAAAATTCAACATTATTAACACGTAGGCTGGTGCTCGGAGGCGGTGGTTTAGGGGATTTTGAAAGTGGTAAATAGCAGAAGGGGAGGAAAATCTGGTGAGTCAGACGAGCTGGTAAGAAACCGAGGCACAGAAAAGCACACAGTGTGGTACCTTTCTTCAGTCTAATTGCTTTTTTTAGAAAAGAAATGTTAAAACTCTCATATATCAGCATCATCCTGCACTGGTCCGACTATCACAGCACCATTAAACCAGTAACACAGTAACGCTACTCCGACCATTCAGACGAGACAACAGCGGGCTGGAGCCTCCATCAGACAAGCCGACAGATAATACGGCTCGGTTTAGTCTATATCGCAGCAGCAAAACAATACAAGACAAAAAAAAACGGAGACGGGAGACAATACCCTGGAGGTTGAATGTTAAAATACGAGGCATTCTCAGGCATTAGCATGACAGCCACCACCCTCGCAGGGACACAATGCACACGGTCACAATCCGCATGAATGATCCGACAATAACAGGATGTACCTCGGCATATTCTATCAATGCTGCGCTGTGTGTGCGCGAGACGGAGATGAAGAGGAAACATGAAAACAGAGAGGAGGGAGGGAGGCCGGCCGAGTGGGAGTGAATGAGAGGTGTTGTTATATAATTAGCTTACAGACAGTCCCAAGGATTCAACGAACTGGTCCCAAGGCACACACACACACACACACACACACACACACACACACACACACACACACACACACAGGTGGCAGAACTGGTTCACCAGCTCCCACCCACACACATTCATAAAACTGACTGAATGACAGAGCGACTGGGTGACAGCAGACAAACAGCAAAGCGACCACAGATTCAGCCGCAACGACTCGCGCTTCAGAGCACGACACGCTCTGACAAATGAGGCTTTTCCGAGGGTTGCGTTAGGACGTTACGAGACACACACGGCCCAACAGCAGCAACACAAAGACAAATCTCCTGTAAGTTGTGTTAAACAAGCGAAAGCAGCGACTCGTTAGAGACGCGGCGGCGGCGGCGGCGTCGTTGTTGTTGTTGGCAGGCTGCAGCTTCAGCAATGCAGCTGGTAGGCGGATATTACATCTGTCATGTCAAACCACAATGGGTGGAGGCTAAAAGTCATTCAGGTTCTACTTTTGCCACGTGGGAAACTTGAAAAGCAACAAAGGAAATAATAGAAAATCAAAATAGAAAATGTCGGTGATCTATTTGTACTTCCACTAACTTGTGATCTCAAGAGGCCAGAAAACGAGCCCAGAGAGAGAACTAGTGAGAGGAACAAACTAATCTGAACACTTTCATAATCAGTTAATGGTTAAAGTATATTTAGATCCCATAAAAAAGTCAACAAGCATGTGTTACCTCACAGCAGTAGTTTTATGGGTGTAAACCTGCTGGTCAGCTGTTTTCCCTTCACCAGTCCAGAGACGGTGATAGATGATTAATCGGTTTAAAATTGTGAATATAAGCATGAATGGTGTGTGCTGGCTTTGTGATGGTGAACTGTGGACTCTCCTAAAGGATGACGTGGGGGAAACTAACTGACAAATGGATAAAACTTCATACTTCGAGGCTTAGCTTCACAGAAAAATAGTCAGACACACAAAAATAGTGAATTTGTTTTATATTATTCTGGCAAAACCTGCAGCAAAAACTAAAACTCGTTTGTCAGATGTTGTTTGCAAAATTAGCCAGAAGTGCTGAAAAATAACAACAACAGGGTGCCAGAAAACCTAATTTGTGTGAAGGATGTTAAACTGGGTCATTTACGGTGGTGTAAGTTGCAGCATATGTAAGATTTCTGTGTGAAAAGACCTTCCACAAGTAATAGATTACTTGACCAAAGAACTGAGTATCGATTAATTAGCTTAAGAAATTTTCTATGATTCTATCTTCTTAAACTTTTATATTTTCTTTACTCCTATGTGACCATAAACTGAATATCTTTTGGCTCGTGGACTAAACAGGACATCTGAGGACGTCGTCTCGGGCTTCGGGGAACGCTGAGCGACATTTTTCACCGTTTTCTCACAACAAACAAAAATAACCTGCAGAATAATCCACAGAGAAAACACTGTTAGTCGCAGCCCTATCTGCAACGTGGGACGAACGACGCTCTTGTTTGTTTGCATTTCTTTAAATCGCATCAGTTGTGGCTGGCGCTCAGCCCAGGATGCAGGGATGGTGCCCCAACAGTCGCTTTGGTGGAACCTTTGTTCATTTGAGCACATTAACTTGGGCTTTGGAAAACATTGATTAGCGTTTTTTTTAAATTACCATTTTCTGACATTTAGTAGACGAACAACTAATTGATTTATGAAGATCAACAGATTAGTCAACGGTGGAAATAACAGCCAGTTGCAGCCCTATGTGCACGTCAGCTACCTTTCTGACTGAGAATGCTTTGATGCTCATAGTTTCCCTTCAGTTCAAAAGACTTCTGCATGATGGAAATAACAAAGACTTACGAAGCAGGTTTGAACCAACCGGTGCTAAAAAATTAGGCTGATAAATCAGATTGATTACGGAGCCA